TGTAACATTACAACAACAAAACAAAAAAAATACAAAGGTAACATTTCATGTGTTACAAGGTAACATTAAAATATCACGAGTACTAAATCAGTCAAAATAACAAAAAACAATGTCTTCCAAATTTTCTTCCACTTCATAATATTCTTCAAAATCATTTCAAGTGCTGAAAATTCTTGCTTTTGTGTCTCAATTATGAATTTTTGTTTTTCAAGATTGTGAATATGTTCCTCGTTTGATTTTATTAAAATTTCAAACCTCATTTTTTGGCTTCATCCTAAAGTAATCATTTTCATCTTCCACTTCTTCGTAGATCCAATCAAAGAATTCACAACCAACATTTATTACCCATAATTTTTTAGTAGAGAAAATGACTTAAAGTATGGATACATGGTTACCTTAAAGTAGGGTGTCATACCTAAAATTTTCTCGCATTGGTGTAAACAATCATTTTCTCTTGCTAAGAATTATTGTTTTATTTTTATTAATTTTTATACTAACTTGTTATTATTTGACATCTATTTATCCTTTTTTGTTTTAGTATAATAAGGTCCAATATTAGGGAGGGGTGTGTTTCACAATTTGTCCAATAGGCTTATCATTAATCTAATGATCCATCAAGGGTTTTAGAAAAGGCCCATTAAAATAGACTCATTTGGTTCTAATTGTTGACCAAAGTCAATGTTCATGCTAATCTATTTTTATTCTTTTTTATTTTTATATTTACTTTTATTTTTAGGTTGACCCGAGGTCAACATGTACTCATGCCCTAATTATCCCAGTTGTGCCTGGAATCTTCTTTCCTAAGTTAAGCCAAAGCCCAAGATTCTATTGGATTTTTGAATCAAATCTAAAATAATGTTTGATTGGGAAAATTTGTTTTATTGATTAATCACGAATACAATACACAGAATTGTCCAAGTACATCAGATTACAGAAACCCTAATTCTAAAATTACAACAAAATCAAAATCTAATCAAATCTCACAAATTGAATTAATCAACTCTAATCTAATTTATAAATGCAAATCAACATAAAATTTCCTAATTGATCTAATTTTAAAACCTATAAATTGAAACCTAAACTAATTGAAGGAGGACGGAAAAATTTGAGAAAAAAACCTTGGAGATTTGTTTCTGCGCATCCCTCAAACCCTCACCAAAGCTCAATCATTTGAATACTTAGGGTTTCACACTAAAACCCTAAGCCTTCGAGCTAAACCTCAAGCACTGTACGTACAAGCAGAAGAAGAACAAGGAGATTAGAGGCGAGGAGAAGTACCACTGCACGGACGGTAATTCTAATCCACTTAGGGTCAAAACTTTGATGTTATTACTATTTGTTTGATTCATGATTTTGGATTGATTTGGGGTTCTCTGGGAAAATTTAAGGTTTAGGATTCAAGTTCTTAGAGTTAGGATTCTAAAGGGTTAGGGTTATAAAGGGTTAGGGTTATAAGGGTTAGGATTTATAGGGTTTTGGTTAAAGATCTGGACGAAAGATGAATTTCCTAACGAAGATTCATCGTGGACGACAACCTCAACGACCGCCCACGGTGGTTGAAACCTAGGGTTCTAAAGATTGGCTAGGGTTAGGATTAAAGATCGTTAGGGTTCCTAGGATTCTAAGGGGATTCTGGGTTTTTGTTTGAATATATGAAGTTTTTGGTTGCTATTCAACCGGAAAATTAGAAATTGGTGGTGGTTTATGGTGGTTCAGGGCGGTGCTCGTGGCATAAGCGATTTTCGTTCACCGAAATCTAGAGAGAGGTCAGAGCCCATCTCTCTAGAATTTACAAAGGTGTTTGGTCGTTGGAGGAAGAGATATAGAGAAAAAGAAGAAAAATGAGAAAAATGGAAGTGAAATGAATATATAGCCCCCCCGTCCCTCTGTATGTGTATCCTATCGTGTTTCCTTGGTCAACTCCCAATCTCATCCATATGTTTGTCATACTTCAGATCAATGCCCTAGAGTTAACCTCTAGTGGCTATTTGATCTGAATCAAGGACGCTCCATGCTTTCAGCACACCATAATTCCATGTGCTCGCTCGTATCTTGTCCAAACAGACTCAAAACAATTATTTGGGACATGCCCGTTTCTAAGGGCACCCTTCCTTTTACTGCTCCAACATAAATTCACACCTCCTGATTATTGGGCTTCAAATTTGTTTATGGGCTTAAGCCCTTGTTATTCACAACCCCCTGTTTTACTACGTTAACTAAGAATACACCCCATGTTTTTATTTAAATAATTTATTTAATTCATTTATTTGTTTTGTTTATTTAATTTATATATTATATATAATTACCAATTTTCCTCTCATATCATTTTTTTGTCATTTAGCATTAAAATATTTTTTTTTTCCATTTATCATGAAACAATCATGTTAGTAAATAAATATTTGACTATTATTAAAAATATTTAATATATTTCTAATAATAAGAAAATAATTATTCATTAACTATTTTTTTAAAAATATTAATCTTTTTTCTATCAGTTCATCAAACAAGTTTTCATCATTCAAACTTATTATTTCTAAACCTCATAAGGCATTCAAGACATCTAACCAATCAAACTTGATATTTTTCTACTAACTTAATTCAAATTCAACAATATTTTCAAAAAAAAAAAAGGATTGTGAACTTGCTTTCAAATTAAACTTCGAACTATGCCCACGACTATGCAATTTTCAAACTCGGACGAATTTCAAAGAATTGTTCGAAAGCATTTACACAATCCATAAAAAAAACTAACCAAACACATACGAACTACAAGATTGGACTCTGATTCTTCGCAAGGACATACGTAGACACGCGATTAAAACCAAGATGAGTTCATAACTAAAAAACTAGATTCTTTTCTTAAACATATGGAAAAAACAACCTTTAATTAGAAATTCCTGATTTACCCTCCGACCTATAAAAGGAGCCCCATTGAGAACAAGGGAGATGAAGGTGTCTAACACCTTTCCTTCTTCTAACCAACTCACAAATTTAGAGTCTCTGTACAAATTAGGGTTACCCGTTATTTCTCCGTCCTTATGACAAAAATTAATGGTGGGGACTCTTCATTTTTTTGCCGGTTACGACATAGGGACACCCCAAAATTGCTTTATAAAGTTGCCAGCTGTTGTTGCCATGCGAAAAACCACAAGGTCTCCACAAGGACAATTGGGTCTCCATCGTAGATTGGAACTTGAGTACACCTTCAAAACAAAACTTTTAGAACTATTCGCTTTCATTTTGGATGAAAAATGCTTAGAACTCACTGTTTCCTTCGATTTAATATACAAATTTGAACGATAATGATGATATTTATGGAGGTTTATGTCCTAAATCAATTTAGATTTCAAATATGTGAATAAATTAGAAGATTCATAGAGAAAAAAAGGTGATGACAATGATGTATACTAGGATGCCACACGTGGAAAAGTAGACACCATTAGTGAGAAATATACAAAAATGACATATATGGCACAATTTGAAAAATGAAGAGATTAAATTGATCTTTTTAAAAGATAAGAGACAAAAATGAATCATAATATATATATAAGAGACAAAAAAAGTATTCAATCTTACAATAAAAATCATGGAAGAAGATTCGATGATAATAATGGACAATGTTGTCACAGTTGAATTTGTAGAAAAAAAATTAAAGATGATACAATGAAATACAACAAAGAAGATGAATGACACGTACATTTTTTTTGTAAAAAAAATAAAAATAAAAATAAAAATAAGAATAAGATGACGAAGTATGCTGAAAATGATGAGTCAGTCTAAAAGAATTAAAAATTTAATGTGTTATTTAAATTATACTCTATAATTTAATTCGTAGTAATATCATTTATTTATAAATCAACTTGGAAACCATCTGTGCTATTGCACATGATTATTATTGAGATCGTTGTTAAGTTAATAAAATCATGTTTAGTAAAAAAAATGGATAACAAATAAATTGAAATTATAACATTTGAATTTATAGTGATAGTTTATAAATTACTGATTGCTAATGAATACGTTAATTGATTTAATTTTTAGTATTAATAAAATTGGAAGTGGAACTAACTTAAGTGACTTTTTTTGTTGTTGAGAAAATTAAGTGATTTATTTTTAGAGAAATAACTTGAATAAAATTCAAATGATTATAGTTAATGTATTACAATTGTTATAATATTTATTTCTTGGATATTTAAAAAAAACATTAGCTTAACTAATTCTTGAGTCATAAGCATTTTTTTCATATATAATTTTATAATAAATTTAAATTAGTATTTTCTCCGTTTCAAAATTTTCAATATAATAATGATTATTATTTTTAGAACTGTGTCATTTAATTTATATTCGCTACACTACTTCTAATTAATTAATAGAATTAATTTTTTAAAAGTGTAATATCTTACGATAATATTATTACATTATTTAATTTGTGTGTAAAAATTTTAAATGACAGCTATTTTAAAACAAATAGAATACTTAAAAATTATTTTTATTTTTACAAATGAGATATTAACCTTAGTCATTTGATTAGTGTAAATCAATTATATATCCCGTGTATGAATTGTATGCCAATAGGGGCGAGAGAAGTAGGGAAAAGAGAAGCAACTTCTCTTGTTTGGAATAAGAGAAAGAAAATAGGGGCGAGAGAAGTAGGGAAAAGAGAAGCAACTTCTCTTGTTTGGAATTGAAGATAAATGAAGAAGAGAGATAAAATTCTTGTGGAGTCCATCTTTTGCAGTTCTCTCTTACCTGCGAAGAAAGGAAAGGAAATAATGGTGATTCCATTTTTATCCTTGTGATTGATATCAATTTTTAATAAAACACTGAACATAATAAAAATCAGAAATTTATAGATCATAAAGCTTGAAGGTTGTGTTTTCTCAAGCAGGGATAAAGAATATTAATGTGTTCCTGAAAGAAATCAACACCATAATTTTTGATAAATTTAAATAACTACAAATTTATTAGGAGGAGGAGCAAGTTTTTTATTAAAAATTTTGGATATGGTGAAACGGTGGCGTGGAGGGTGGGTAAGAGAGAGGTTACTCGGAAATGAATAGATGATAAGTTTTTGGTAAAATTAGTATCAGATTTTTAAGTTATTTTAATTGTAATTAGTTAGTTTTTTATGTTTTTTTATTATATGTGAGTCTTTTATGTTAATTAATGTTTATATCATTAATATTTATCTTAATTTTTTTTAAAGAAAAGTTAAAGTAGTTCGGATGATACTGATACGTCACTTAACATAGGTTAGAGACTATCATTAGATCATATAATAAAATTTTCAGAATTTTTTAGAATATAAAAATATTTTTTAAACTACTTAAAATGCACGTAAAAGGAATAAATTAAAGAAAAATAATAAAACAAAAAATAAAATTCTCATAAAATTATACGAAATGTAAAATGAGAAGAAATATTTTTAATATTTTTTTTCATAATTTTTGGATCAAAATCAGATTTAATATGAATTTTAGAAGTTAAAAATAAATTAAAATAAAATTAATAAAACAAAATAAAGAAGAAAAAAATCAACATACTGACTTAGTTAATATAAAGGACCTAAATATATATATATATATATATATATATATATATATATATATATATATATATATATATATATATATATATATATATATAAGATTAACTTATTACAATTAAATAACTTAAAGGACTCTGAGATAATTTTACCTAAATTTTAATAAATTAATATAAATTAATTGACTAATAAAATAAAATCAATAATATGAACATATTAAATTCATTAATTAATTTTCTCTATAAATCCATTAAATAATAGTTAAACTTATATTTTTAAATCATTTGAATTAGGGAGAATAATCAAGTTGATTAAACCAAGTAATAAGTAATAATTAATAATTAAATCATTTGAATTAGTCAAAAAGTAATTTAATAAATTACATTTTACTTTAAATAAAAGATTAAATTAATTTTAATATGTTTTTTAAAATATGGGGACATTGTTGTACTTCAAACTTAATTTGTATTTTTTTTCTTCTATTTTTCTTAAATCAAACAATATCTTAAAGGTAATTTTGTCTACATTTTCTCTTTAGTGCCAAAGAAAGCATAAAGGAGTAGTGTCACTGTCACAAGATAAAAGTCATGGTAAAAGGATGCAAATGTAATTTTGGTGGTAATCTAGTTTGTTAAGTTTATAGGAGACAAGTTAAAACATTAAAGGACAATTTGAAATATCACGGAAAAACATGTATTTAACATGATGATAATATTGCCACGTCAGCTTACCGATTTTCCCGACCAAAACTCTTCACAGAAACTCAGCTCAAAGATATTTATAACCCTATTTAATTCAATTCAATCCTTCTCCGGATCCTCACTGTCAGACGACGCCGACCACCGTTTTCCTCCGTTCACCGCCGTGCATCCAGACCCCGTTCCACCTCCAACACAAATTACATAACAGTATAACCTATTTTCCATGGCTAGGGTTTTGTAATTTGTTTTTATAGGGTTTCAATTTTTTATTTATTTAATTTTTTTTATGAATCAAATCGCTAATTTTTCACGAAATTCTTATCTAATGTGCATTAATCTGTCAAATTATATGTATTTAATTTGTTAGAGTACAATCTATTGATATTTTACTGAGAGGTCCTGGGTTCAAACTCAATCCTGGGCCGGCAGCAGTGTTAAATTCTCTTGAAGGTGTCCTATCTAGCTGAAAGATTAGTCTCTGCAATTGCGTGGAGACTAATCTAAAAAATCTATTAATATTTTATGTTTTCAATATATGTTTTATATAAGTATATATAATTGAAGTTAAATAGTTTGCATTTTGCAAGCCTGACTCAGGGTCCGCTGCCTTCAACTTCACCAGTCAAGAAGGCGGAACTCTCTCACGAATCACGATGACAATGATAATCGAAGGTACAATGAAACGTTGTTAATATTATAATATGCCACATATTTGTATGATTTTGGTATAACTGTGAAATTCTTATTAACATCTCGCTCTTCCATGGAAAAACAATCTCTCAGAAGAACCAAAGACGGTAGAGTTCAAGTGGGGGATAAAGCGTGGAAAAGGAGGCAAAAAGGGAAACATGCAGTTCTATGAATCATTCACCTTGAATGGTGTTGATTATGCGCTTTTTGATACTGTTTATATTAAAAATGGAGCGCAACCCGAACCTCATATTGGAAAAATCATCAAGATATGGAAAACTCCTAGTGAAAAGTCTAGGAAAATTAAGGTTCAGCGGTTTGTTCGTCCGTGTGAGATCTCGAAGCTTTTGACCGGGATTAAGATTTATTATAATGAATTGTTCTTGACTTGTGGTGATTGCACTGAACTTGCCACAATCAATCCTCTGGTAATTCTGATTTTAAATTCAGTATTTGATTTTTATTTGTTTATCTTTGATTCAAGTAGAACAATGATAGCAAGAGATTCTCTAACAAGTTAAATTTATGTGAATTTTTCAACTTTTAAAAAGAGTACCACTTGGTATGGTAGGTGTTAGGTTCATGCAATTCAGTGGTACCTAGTGGAAATTCATGTGAATTTTACTCAATTAGATAGCCTCCACCACTTGGAATTGAATGCCACTAAACAAGGGATTAAGGCATGGTCGTTTAGTGGAATTTAGTTTAAATTCATTTGAATTTGGCTCAGTTATACTAGGAGGGTGCTGCTAGCGTTCCTCAGTAAAGTAAGCAAAATTTATGTGTGATCCACCCCTTTGAAATGGGTGCTACTAAACAGGGAATCAAATCACCATCATTTAATGGAATTTAGTCAGAATCTATAAGAATTTAGCCGAGGAGTGTTGATTTTTAGAGAGTTTGTTGCTAGTGTTCCTTTGTAGGTTAAGTAAAATTGATGTGGGCCTCGCCACTTTGAAATGAGTTGCTAAACAGGGAACTAGATCACCGTCATTTAGGGGGATCTAGTTCGAATCCATGTGAATTTTACTCAATTATACGACGATTTTGTTGAAAAGAGACTTTGAAAAAGTTTGTTTCTGGCATTTCTTTATGGATCTCATAAATGAGTGTTGTTTTGTAACCAATTCTTCATTAGAGCAAGTTATTTAATTTTGCTAGATTTGGATTGCAACCGACCATCAGTTTGTTACCCTAATTGAATTGGTTATTTTTGTATGGCATAACAGGAATCTATTACTGGGAAATGCAATGTTGTTTGCATTTCTAAGGACTCTAGGAATCCACAACCATCAGATGTAGCATTTCGGAAAGCTAGCTTTGTGTTTTATCGTTACTTTGATGTTGGGCAGCGTAAGATAGTGGATGAAGTAGATGACAAGATTGCTGGAATTGATGGTATGTGGGACTGATCATAGCTAATGTGTTTGAATATGTCGGACTAGTCAGTAGTCATTTCTTTTCTTTGAATTGTTGAAAATCTTATGCTTTTTTTTTTCTTTCTGAAATTGTTGCAGTTAAAAACTTTTTTAACAAAACGGCATAGTTAAAAGCCTGTTGCTGCTGCTGCTGCTGCTGCTGTATAACCTTGTCTATACGAGAAAGGAGTTGGTGGGGAGTGCCTTGAAAAGTAGTGAAGTCACTTTTATGAGTAATAAAAATAGTCAATCTGTAGTTAAATGTTAGCTGGCAAGTATGTCGATACATTAGTTACAGAAAGGGGATGTTAAATTTACTTGGAATAATAAAAACCTATGGAGGAAAAGCATCCATAGAATAATTTTTTTTTGTGATTTAGAAGAATTTTTTGGATCGGTATAGAAGTTTGTTGTTTCTGATGTTTAATAAAGAAATCAGGTGCCTTTGAATTAATGCTGGTTTATGCCCTGGTGTGTTTCTTGCTAAGTTCATTTACTATCATCGTTATTATTTAAGTAGAGGTTGAGTAGTTTGGTAAATTAGAAATAGCCATTTGAACCAACTCATAACCTCCTATATGTTGGGTTTTTAGATTTGTCTTTCTTAACTAATATGGCCAAGCATTTTGCTGTTATTTGTCTCTCTAGAGATTATTTTCTTGTCTAATAAATCACATGATATAACTTGATACGGCGGCTTCTCTGCCAATACAATACAGACAACTGTATTATTTAGCCCTTAGCTTGTTTTGGTGAGAACTAGTCTTTCATCATGTTTTTCCATAAGATGTTTAATAGCGTAAACACATTCCCTTTCATCTAGGGATTCTGAGCTTTTGATTTGCTTTCGAGCTTTCGAGGGCTATAATGACACAATTATTTATGTTGTAGTTCAAGATTTGGTTATATTTACTATAAAAACAAGATTGATGATATACAAGGTTTCAAATTCATGATAATAATGGCACGGATACTTGCAATGTAGGCCATGCTTTGCAAGAAATGAAAACTAGTTATTAGCAAATAATTGAGGATTGTTTATTTATGTCAGATTGATGGTTCTATATTGTCATTTAATTCCTGTTAGGTTTACACATAAAATCATTGATAGCATTATGTGTGACTCAAATATAGTGTGTTTTCTGTACTTGGATTCTGTGCACTCAGGCAAATCATGCAGCCATGCTGTTGTCTGTTATCAGCCGCTTGATGAAGATTGAAAGTTCATATATGAACTCCAACAAATCGGGTTTTTAAATATGAGCCATTGAATCTTTATCCAAATGGCTGAGATTTGCAGCTGCATTGATCTGCTATATATTCATCGGGTGTCTGTTTTTAATCTGTTTCAATATATTTCCATTTGGGATTGATTGATGGTTTGCTTATGGGTTTTAAAGTTTGTCCATTTAATGGCTGTTATTTGCTGTGATGTTCTTAGGATGCCATGTTATGCACCTTCATGACTTTCATGTCGATAAACTTTTGCACATCGGCTTAAGTCAGATTGGCGGCATACATACGTTTAGCTTCAAATGAATGATGATATGAGTTTGAATCCTTGTCAAGGACACATGACATGATTATTTATGATATAGATCAAGCATTGAATACATTTAAATAAAAGCAAGAAGTAAAAGATACTAGTTATTAGCATATAAATTGAGTATTGTTTATTTATGTCAGATTGATTATACACAGAGCTTCTAATGCATGTTGATGGAGATTCTAGCTTATTTTTGTCAACTTGTAGAAGGAGATTCAACCAATGATGAGTTTATCAGCCAAAAGGAAAAAGTAAATAAATCAGAAAAGCAAATGAAGAATGATTATAGTGCTTTAGGTGAAGTGGCATATTTATTGGGAGTTCTTGTACCAGGTAAATAGTTTCTATGTGAATTTTCAGAAATTCTTCCAATCAGGACTTGTTATCAAGCTAGTGATGACCAGGAGAAGTTCCAACCTGTTGGCTGTTAGAATTGTGCTGATTTGCTTCAGCTAAAGATGATTTGGCATGTAAACCATGACCATGTTTCTCACTCTTTCTTGCTTCATCTACATGCACATCATCTTCAACTGATATAACTACTGCTTGTTGTCCAAAAGGACCAGGGACAATGGTTTCGTTGCCCTTTTTATGCTCATCGATACGTATGACAGCTGAAGATGATTCGGCTTGCGAACCATGGCTGAGTTTCTCATTCTTCCTTGTTTCATCTACATGCACATCATCTTCAACTGATATAGCTACTGCTTGTTTTCCAAAAGGACCAGGAGTAATGGTTTCCTTACCCTTTTTATGCTCATCGATATGTATGATGTCGGTTTCTTGTGTCCTCTCATTCCTCTTCTGAAAGAAGCAGTATAGTGCAAAAACAAACAAAGAAAGCAAGACAAGGCCTCCGGCACAGACGACCACAACTAGTATGACTATGGGAGAGCTGTTTGGTTGAGTTGAGGCCATATTTGTGTTGATCAATTGATGCTGTTCTGAAAATGTTTGTTTTCTGTGGAATATGCTGTGGTTTAGGTGTCTCTTTGAGATGTGGATTTATAGGAAATACTTGGTATGGAATTATGCAATTGTTTTATTAACTTGAATCTCATGCCAAGTTTCAGAAGGGTTGTTTGTAGTGAAAAACACTTGTCTTCATGCTTCTTGGTTTATTTTGCTTGATGATCTGTTTTTGTTTGAAAAATTGGCAAGATATATGGAGTTGATAGAAGTATGTAACATCATTACTTAAAGTGTTATAGTAGACAATAATTTATGTATATGTGCCTGGTCGTCGTTATCAAACCTCAAACAAACCTTAAATTCATAAATTAAAATGAAATCATATTCGTCTTCTACATACGGTGTGGGACATCTAAAAAGATGTCAAATTATCATTTCTGCTTTTATTGGAGGTGTGATATTTGGACACCAAAATATCAACACCGTATAGCCAGCCAACTGCCTCAAACATGCATGGTTTATTGTAAATTAAAGGAGAGAAAAAATGATTATAATAACTACAACGAGAAAATCTTCTTTAGACACAAATATAAATATAGATTGTTTGGGCACACTCACACAAAAGAGAAAAAATAAAAGAAAAATAATTTAGTCAAATCATTTAATTTCTTTTTCTTTTTAATTTATATATTTATGAGAGTGTGCCTAAAGTTTTTGATTTCCGCTACTTTCTATGTAAAATTAATGCCTCTCTGTCAAAAATTCAGATCATCGATCTTCTTTTTTTAAAGTTTCAATCTCCTTTTCAAACATATTTATTATTAGATTCATTATTATTCCACGATAAGTTGCAATTGTAGTCGCTAAAGCTGCCAAAGTATCGCCTCTTCCTCCCCCACCTCTGACGAAAGACGATTAAGTTTTGGTGGCATCTCTATCTGATCATATGTAACAAGATTTCTCTCCTCTAAGAGTTGTCAAGATGCGTTCTAAGCTCTTCCGCTCTTTAGATTAACACAACAACCTCGCTAGGGCGAACCATGGCAATGACCTCCTTCACAACCTGTTATATTTGAACATGAAATATTCAAAGACCTTCTATTTTTGCAAGCAAATCTTGAAGTACATGGAGCCTCCGACTTGTTGAACAATGTCTACAACATAGTACACTAATATAACTCATAATTCCCTATTAATAAAAAAATCAGGATTGAAGAGAACCTTCAATACGCCTCATCAAGGGACAACATCAACGAGAGGCAATCTCCCAGGGAAATCAGGACGCTACACAAGAGCCAGTTCCGATTGGCACGACTACTCCATACAAAGAGGTCTTAAGGTCACCAGCTCTCAATCAACATAATGGATATAGAGGATATAGAATTGCCCCGCCTAATTCAGAAGGAAGGTCTGGTAGCCATACTCCTCTCGAGGTTCACCATCCTCATTATTCATCCACACATCATTTGATAAGAAGGAGAAAATATGGCACAATCGCTCCAGCTCCAGAGCAAAAGAAGATCCTATTATTTGTCTCCATCTTCGACAACATGATTCTAAGGTCTCTAGAGAAGCTTCAAAATCTACAAATTTATGACAAAATCGAAGATCTAGACGAACGTGTTAAACATGTAGATAACATGCTGGATTACCATCGTGCCCATGGGGTAGTGAAGTGAAAGCTCTTTGAACTAACCTTGATGGAAGCCGTGATGACTTAGTTCAAAATCATGCTAGATGGGAATATATATTCGTGAAAGGATTTGTGTGACGCCTTCGCTGCCTATTTTACTACTGAAAATGACAACCTATAATTATGGTCGTACTCAGCAGGGTCACTTATAAAAAAGAAGGAAACCCTTTGCAAGTACATTGATATCTTCACGAAAATGGCAGTAGCAGTAGGGGTTCGAATGACAGACTAAAATGATGGATGTTCAAAAAGGGGTTTAGGCTGGATGCTTGTTATAGGAAAAGCCAGGGCTCTATGGAGTCTGTAATTTAAGAGATTTGCTGAATAAGGAAAACCATATATTAATTACAAAGAAGATCTCATGGATGAAGGGGAGGGGAGAAGATCAGAGAACTCCATATACGGTCGAACATCTAAAAGAAACAACAACCTCCACAAAGAAGACGAGGACCATACCCCGATTTAGGTTCTTCGCCCACACTCATCTAAACACTTCAATTGATGAATACTTAAACCACTTATATGTCCTTTCTCAAGGATACTCTTCTTAAGCTTTGGAACATCTAGAACACACATATATTGCCAAACCTCATTACACCACTCTCGTCAATTCTGAACTTATCTCCTTTACCTTGGTTAATCAAAGTCAATTGGTCAACTAACCTCAAATCAAACTTCCGACCTTCACGGATTTCTTCTATAATACCACTAGTCAGCTTCAACATTCCTAACCTTACACTATTAAGAGTCTCTTCACACACCAAGCTCATATCTCTGAATTGTTCGATCATCTCTAACTCTCGAACCATAAGCATTGACATATGCAACGACTTCCTACTCAATGCATCAACAACTAAATTTACTTTACCATGATGGTAATTCAAATCAAAGTCATAATCCTTCAATAACTCAAGCCATCTTCTTTGCCTCATATTCAACTCCTTATGGCCGAACAAGTATTTCAGACTCTTATGATCACTAAACACTTCGAATTTAGAACCAAAAAGATAATGTCTCAAAATCTTAAATACAAACACCACTGCTGCTAACTCTATGTCATGCGTAGGATAATTCCTTTCATGAAATTTGAGTTTTCTAGAAGTATAAGAAACAACTTGTCCATTCTGCATTAGCACACTAGCAAAACTCATCTTAGACGCATTACAATACACCACAAAAGACTCACTCAGATTAGGCAAAACTATACTGGAGCATTCGTCAACCTATTCTTTAATTCTATAAAGCTTTCTTTGCACGCAACATCCCACGCATAAGCTTGACCTTTTCGAGTCAACTGAGTTAACGACAATGCTAACTTAGAAAATCCTTTAATGAACCTTCGATAGTAACCTTCCAAACCAAGAAAACTTTGAATCTCAATTACAGACTTCAGAGTCTCCCATTGCAACAATGCATCAACTTTTAAAGGATCCACATCTATCCCTCAACTAGAAATCACATGCCCAAGAAAACTAACTTCCTTTAGCCAAAATTCACACTTTGACAATTCGGCATATAATTTCTTTTCCTTTAACACTTGCAACACCATTCGCAAATGCTCAACATGCTCTTCTTCTGATTTAGAATAGATCATAATATCGTCAATGAACACCATGAAAAAATTATCCAAATATGAATGCAAAGTCTGATTCATATACTCCACGAAAACCCCTAGCGCATTAGATACACCAAATGACATCACAGTGTATTCATAATGACCATACCTCGTTCCGAAAGCCGTCTTCAGAATATCATCTGGTTTAACTCGAATCTGATGATAACCCGACCTTAAGTCAATATTTCTAAAAACACAAGCACCCACCAACTGATCTGTTGTATCCCAAAATTTTCCCTCTCTTTTCTCTAGACATTTCTCACAAAGATCTTCAATGGCTCAAGCTTACACAAGTGTTAACTATGTCAAACTATCTCCTAAACATTGATGCCTCAAATTAGGGTTTTGATTTTCACAAGGATAATTAGACTTCTAATTCCTCAAATAACTTGCAGGGATCATTATAGATCTTCAAGAATACTCATGTCAAGTTTCAAGTCTTGAATCATAATTTTGCTCAGTCAATTGACCAGATGATTGAAAATCAGTTGTATTGGGTAAAAAGTCAATTGTGGTCAACCTACAGTCAAACTTCATGATTTTTGGCCAATATAAACATCTTAAATTACTATTCATCATTTGATCAAGTATTTATCACAATCTCTCAATAAAAGCACTCGGTTCATCAAAAGGGCAAAGTGGTAAAAATTAGGGTTTTGATTGAGAATGACTGATTCTTGACTTTTGACTTAATACATGACTTATTGGTTTGAAACATGATATCAAGGATTCAAGGACATAATTTTGACCTAATTGCATGACTCAATTCATCTCTCAAGATCAATTGGTTGATAGTTGAAATTTGGTCAACTATTGAAAAGTCAACTGATACACCAAAAGTCAAACTTTGACTTTTTGATATAATCTGAGTTTCAAAGATCACAATTCATCAAGAAATTCAAAAATGTGAAGCTTAATCATCAAGAAATCAAGAAAGACAAAAAGTCAAACTTTTCAAGACTTAAATTTTTTTAAGTGTTTTAAACCTTATAATTTCCTAACTTCATGACTTTTTTTTACCATGATGCAAGATGATTCAAAGAAAACTTTCAACATGAAAGTTTTAGATCTTTATGATATCTACAAATTTACTTTACTGATCAAGTCTTATAAGTGCTTGGATTTTGAGTTATAAATTCATGAAGTCATGAATTTTTTGTAAAACACTTAGTGAAAATTTGACCTAGTTTAGGCAGATTTTTTACCTAACTTCTTGGCCAATTTTCACCAAGCTCCAAGAGGATTTTATCAAAATTGCTAACATGAAAGTTGTAGATAATGTTCCAAGCTTTTCAAAATATCAAAGAACTCAATGAGATCATTTCTGACATAAGAGAATCGAAGGCAAGAAGTTGGACATTCATTCTTTAATTATAGGTCTTTTTGTGATGAACAAGAATTCAAATCTCATAGCCATGTTTCATGATCTTGCTTTTCATGCTTCAAACTTGTGTTTCACTCCATAAGTAATTGTTTGCACAATTGATTGAGCCATTATCCAAGTGTTTGAGTCATTATCCAAATCAAATTGCCATTTAAGGAAGAAAGTTCACACTTCCATTTTGGAAAAGTGAATTTAATCACAAATGCCATTCTCCTTGAGCTTTGGATTTGTTTTTTATCCACAAGCATCCTCTATAAACTCAGAACAAACATGGTTAAAGTTTCTAGCCACCCTACCTTGCCTTGAAACCATGT